AAAAAGAAGATCTAGATTTTACCAGCTTTCTCTTGCCAAAGAATACAGGATGCCAATGCCAGAAAGTAAAAAATGAAAAGGATGTTACAATAAACGTCATGAATTATTTGGTCCAACAGTGTTTAATAATGCTTATAGCACAATTTCATGTCAATTATATTTTTGCACCCCTGTGCATCTGCAATAATCAGCGCCTGCCTGCGTTCCCCACTCCTAATTCACTTATAGACTGTGATCAGACAGCTTAGATACAACATTGCACAGTGCATAAAAGTACTACAGGTGTTCACATCACACCTCAACAGACAGGATGTGGGATTTGTTTTGAGGATGTTCAAATTAGCCATAATTTGCTTCCTCAAGCACCATTTCAGAGCTCAAAACTAGTCTGAACTACAACATTTCAAGTATGAACATTACTCAGAGTACTGGAATGTAGGCTGACTTCTCCTGATACTGTTCTGACAAATTGGGAGCAAGGAATGTTCTAGACTAGTTCCCTGCATACTGACTGATGTAGGAATATTAGTAGCACAATTCAAAACCTTAACCTTGAATAACAATGGAAAAGAAACATCTGGCAATGTTTAGTACTGTTGCCCCCTTTATTTTAATTATTCTTACCATGGAGAAAATAAAAGTACCAGTAATAAAAAAAGTTGGCCTTGTTTTAATTCAGGCCTTAAGCTTTCAAGACACACAGGGTGTTAAGTTATTTTCTCCGGGCAGAAATCATGTAGAGGTTCTTTTTTAATGGAAAGCTGCTTGCAAGACCATCTTCGACACAATGTTCTATTGAGCTGTTTTTGGATATATTTTTTATAACTGTCTTATGATCAGTATTGAATGAAGTGAAGCTCGTTCTTGTATTAAGTTGGAGTGGGTTCTAACTTCCAAAAGAATCGGTAAAGGAGAGTAACCTACAAATGTGTTATAAATGCTCTTCAGCTGTACCCACTACCAGGAAGAAAGGGAGCAGCATATAAGCTATGGAAAAAAAAGCAAGAGATGATGAGAAAAACAGACAAAACACCCATCTCAAAAAAACACATAACCTGGGCTCTCAAAGATATTTTCATGACACTTGTTTACAAACACTGCATATCCTTAAAACGTCACACTCATCTTACTGTTCATCAATTTCATTTTCAAAGTTGATTCAACAGTCATGGCTACACTCAAAAATAAAAACGAAAAAGAAACATCTGGCGATGTTTAATAACGTTGTCCCCTTTATTTGAATTATTCTTACCCTGGAGAAAAAGCTACTGATAATAAAAGTTCTGAGAATTTAATAATGAAAGAGAACCAGCTCTGATAAATGGTGGACAATCCACTGTTTGTGGCAATTCTGTTTTGCACAACTCAAAACAGTAACTTATCTAAACTTAGTCTGTATCTTGTGGTCCAAGTATGAGGTGGACAAAAATAAAAGGGAAATAACACAACCAACGATATCAAATTACATGGTCAATTCTTTAAAGGAATTCACAGAACTTAAAGTGTGCACATTCTGCGTTGATGGTCACCTTATAGCAATGATACAGTCTAGAGCAGTAAGAGGACTACAATACTGCAGAGAAAAAGTCACCTTTATCACCAGGTTCTGAACAATGCACACTTTCCACTTCTTCTTCACGTTGGTGTTGTATCAGAGCTTCTCCTTACAGGGCAGATTAATTAGGGAGAGACCCCACTCCCACTGATAGAACAATTATTTGAACAGAGCTTGGAGAGACTTGATGAATCCAGACTAAATGGCAAGAACTCCAGCTTCTAAACTATCTTCTTCAACAACTAATACTTTTTGCTACTGCAATACAAAGAAGTTTCTGTGCTTGTAATACTATCTCCCTGGTTCTCCAAAGATTTAATTTGATGAAGCAATAACCAATTCCAGATTTCTTCTTTGAAATTATAGATATGAAGCTAGGAAATGTCAAATTAACTGACTTTGAGAATCAATATTTTTAACACTTACTGCGACAAATATGTAATAACCGCTTCAGCTCACAAATGCAATGGAACCAATGTATTTGTGTACCGAAAGCGGAACCATTTCTATACATTGCACACCCTCTTGACAGGTCCAATAGATATTGGGCATTGTTCCACGTTATCTGAATCTTAGAAAACGTAAATACATGTCTGTACAATAAGTGTAAGAAAACAATTAAATAACCACCATGTGTGGGACTTTCCCAGTAGAGTATTTCAAAATGAGAATGAAATACATTACATTTTAAAAGTAGAAAAAGATTTTCTACATAGGCATTAAGTGACTAATGTGAAACAGGTACTGTTTAAAATATGAACTCAATCCAAAGGAGTCTGTGAAAGTGACAAACATGATGATGGCCAGAATAAAGAGAATAAAATTATATTTCCATTTTAATAAAATACTTTAATAAAATCTGTCAGAGGTCAAATGTTGGAGAAGAAAAAGAACAATCCCATCCTCACCCCAGAACAATAAGAAGTTCAGAGCTTAGCTAAAATTAGTACAGTGTTTTACCACCTGGGATTAATCTGGTTTTGTGCAGAGCGCCCTTGGAAAAATGTTAAACACTCAATTTTTAACAATAATTTGAAAAAAAAAAATGTTCTACCAGGTCCAATTTTATTAACAAAAAACTTCATAGAAGGAAAAAATACTGTATCTGGGTTGCACGAAGTTGAGTCAACTTGAAGCTGGAGAAATGTTTGCCCCCATGGATCCTTGTTCTTCCTTCATCGGGCTCAATTATCAACAGGTTCAGCAGCATCTCCTCTGTAGGAGGCTAAAGATTCTATTCTCAGCGCCTGTGGTGCATTACTCATTCCTCCATATACACCCACACTAATGGCTTCAAGGTTCTGGTGACAAAATTTGCAAATTATTTCATATTCACAGAGACTTTCAGGAATATTCTTGAAGAAAACAGAGCACAGGCAAACTCCAAATATTCCTCTAATTGAACTGAACTTTTGTACACAGAATTTCAAATCTTAAGGAAAAATAACACTTAGACTTAACATCCCATGTGAAAGTAAAAGTAAAAGATGTAAAGCATGCACAATTAAGAAGTGTGTGAACTTGGAGGACGTGAAACTATTTGCAGCATAATCCTTTGTGAATGGACATTATTCTGTGGAACTGGACACACCCTAAACATGACACAGCAAAAGGCAAACAATGACTGGAACACTATAATACTGAGTCGGGGGCTGAGAGTCTCGAAAACATCATGTCATGCTCATATGATATTTAGCACGAGTTGTACTACATGTAATTTTTAAAGATAACATTGTTCCATTACAGAAACACAGCTAAACTACGAAACAAAATGCGCAATACCCTTCTTACCTATGCAACTTTACATATGTGCCTATAACCTCAATTTTTCTATATATTGAGTGAAGAACCAGTTTTAAAATAGACAATAGTGCCCAGAAAGCAAGTGCAACACTGTTTTATTGTGAACATTTTGCCTGTTTAAGACATTAGCTGGGCTTGTATGCCATAAGAAATCTTACATGCCACCAAAATAAAGTGCAAAATTACAGTCATCACCTGATGTAACTAATTTTGTTTCTGAAGTGAAACTTGTTTCTAGAAATCTGAAAAGCCCTTTTTGCCACGAGAGTAAAGCCAATGAGCAAAAAATAAGGAAAAAAAAAGCCTGTAAAGAGTACAGGACAGCTTTGACATTCTTAAATCTGTACAGATACATGTGAAAAAAACATAGGAAGAAATGAAAACATTTTGCCCAGCTTAAAAGATTTTACAGAAATAGGTTTTGTAAGGATAGCAAGGACTATTTCTTTAAACAACAAAAAGTCAAATCTATCCTTAAGATGATGAATGGAAGTTTACAAGTTTCTTCTAATGCAAGAATACTGTAGTGTTTAATGTCTTTTTGAATACAATTTAAAATTGAGTTTCTGCTTCCAATTTCAGGCTTCACATCAGCACCAACAAGTCCACAGAAGATGAAAACGCAGTTGTGGATACAAACACTCAGGACACAACCTTGTTCTCTTAAACCGAATAAAAGCAATTATGCTGTCCGTCCTAAAAATGAACAGGCTCTCTTTTTAAGATCAAAATCAAATTCGGAGGAAATACCAACAAACGCAAAACCAGGTTGTTTTCGCACTGATCTATATTGTCCCGTTATGAAATGTCAAAGAACATATGGAAGGTTCTGGGCAAACATCCAATCCAAAGAAAACGGGGCATTAGAAGAAAAACTCTTGCTGCTGCATAGACAAGTGCAAACACAGAACAGTCACATATTGAAGCCAGTGCATAGGAAAGATAAAGCACTTATGGTATTTGCAAACATTAACTACTAAATAAAGCTCTGTGATCTGGAGGGAGGGGAAAAGTCCAGTTGATATAAACCATGAATCAGAATTAAAAATGCAACAAGAAAAATAACAGCACAAAGCTTAAAACAGATGCACATTTACAGAATATCCATTCACAAGCAATATAATTAAAAAATAACCTACAGTCCCAAATATCCTACTATCTTTGCATAGAAACAGAGGAGCATAAAGCAGATGGGACTTTGGCAGATGTGTTCCGAGAACCGTCAGAAACCGCATGAATTAAGAAAGTATTTTCAGTTCAAGCAAAAACAAACATTTTTGTACAAAATACTGTATGTCTAATCATTACACATCATCGTCATGCTTTCCGTATGCAATCTGCACGTTGGATGTGAGGAAACGTGGGGTCAGGAGCTTTTCAATTAAAGCACGTTGTCATTCAGAGTCTGTAAAATACAAATCGTAGAACTTTGAAAAGGGGGATAAAACCAGGGTCAGGACTCCTCACACCCCAATAATTATGGCAGCCGGATGAACCCTGGGTTTTCGTTATTATCTATGAAGCAGCACAAAGGCCTCCAGTTTCTGAGGGATGTTACCCCTGTACACAAGGCTGTGTTTAACTATAACACGCGCTGCCAGACACTGCAGTGTAGTGTGGTTAATGGGCTGGATCAGATTTTTCGCCATTTCTTTCTCATCCAGCAGGTCGCAAGCGGTCTGCTTGAAGGAGTTTGTACTGTCAAAGTGGGAGCCGCAGGCGATCAGCAAGTTCATGATGTCCGGGTTGTTGTTAAAGGCTGCCACGTGCAAAGGGCTGTTATTGTCCTCGTCCCTGCAGTTCACGTCCGCCCCACATTCCACAAGAATCGAGGCCACCTGGTAGGAGGGAAACTTGCAGACGGGGTAGCGCCCCACGCAGGTAGTGTTCCTGTCGACCGCCAGATGGAGTGGGGTGAAGCCGTTCTTCCCGCTCGGCCGCAGCTTGAGAAACCTGTAGATCGTCTCCTTCTTGAAGTGGTCTTGCTCCACACTGCACGGGACCTTCTCCAGCAGACAGATCAAGTGCAGAATGATGGAAAGAGCCTTGCTAAGCTGAGCAGGATCGGGCGGGGGCTGCGTCTGCTTGACGGCTCTCTCAATCTCCAGCACGCTTTTGCTGAGGATACCCATGAGGTCATCAAAGGACACGGATGTGCCCAGCAATCCCTTGGCCCGGTCCTGCAACATGAAGGAGAAGAGCTCAGCAAAGGAGAGCAGGCTGCTGGCTGTCATGGGGCTCAGGGGATCCAGGTTGCTCTGTTGCATGTCTAGGGCATACTTCCAAAGGTTAATACACCTCTCAAAGTTGCCAGAGTCTGCATAGACTGCACCCCTGTAGCGGATGTAATAAGAGGTATCGGGGTGCGAAGGGCCCAGAATCCTCTCTCTGATAAGCAGGGCCTGCATTCTCATCTCATCGGGGTCAGCAATCAGGTTATCGAGCTCATCGGCACAGTTTACTTCCTTGGCATAATCGTAAGCCATAATCAAGTGTTTCGGCTCGGCCTTGTACAGAATATTGCCGCTTTCGCTATATCGCATGTCCATAGCCTTCTTCCAGTATTTCAGCGCACCCAGGAGGTCCCTCTTTTTGTCCACAAAGGTTGCGCCCAGCAGCTCCAGGGCATTGATCCTCTCCATTTTGCTTGTCTGCTGGTGCTGAGTTAGAAAGTCGACAATGTTCGTGTGCCCTGTCACGCTGGCTGACAGCAAGGGTGTCATTCCATAGCCATCCTTCTCCATTTTAGCGCCATACTTCAGCAGCATTTTCATGATTTCCAGGCTGCCCGATTCAGCGCAGTCATGCAGAGCAGTGTTACCTGGAGGGGATATAAGATCGCATGTTAAGAGAGCTGTGTCTTCAAGGAAAGACTATCACATCCCCACACCAACACCTAAACCTTAGCCATAGAAACCACGAAGCCTGCAATCGGCAACACTGCAAGAGCTGGGAGACTCAGTATTCTAAAAAAACATGAAAGTTCAAGCACATAAAAATAATGTTCTATAAAATTAAAAAAACTTTATTAAATCATGTTGATAAAATCAGATTGTGGGAGTATGGAACAAGGTTCTCTCGGATTGAAATCTTCAAATTAATTAGCTGCTCACAGTTAAGGAGGCTAGACTGGCCAAATATCCTCATCCCATCTTATAACCTCTCTATGTTCTGATATTTAGAAAAATAAATCACTAATTCTGGTTCAGCAAGTTTAACAGAGAGTTGATAAAATTTTCAGCTAATGAAAATTTTAGTCGATGCAAAGGTCTTCTAAACTGTACTTGTGTAAATCATCTTACTGCAAAGAAAGTAAAAAAATATTGCTAAAGCCAGAAATAAGATAAGGCATCAAAATATACACTCTGTGGAAACAATTCATGAAGTACATGGCTATAATTAGTAACCACAATTTTATGAATTAGCTAAGTGCAAAATATCACTAATATCCCTGACATTTTTACAAATTATTTTTGCACCAATTCATTGGAAGTAAGAAATGAAAGCTCTTTTATTAAGCCTTACAAAAGGTTTTGCGATATTTCTTCCAGAAAACACGAACATTACCAATGTTAAACATTAACAAGGCAACCTTTTCGCATGGTAGTATTTTGACGTACAAAACAAAAGGTACAGTTCATTCCTTGCTGAAAAGTGAAATTTTGCCTGTGGAGTGGAAATGTGCATTTCCTTTGTTTTCACTTTCTGCATAGAATTCACCTCCATATGTTCACCGTTGCCTGCGCACCAAGCCTGCTCCTTGCTAACAAGCATGCATGGGTTTCACAGAATGACTAGCGTAGAAAACCTTTAATTAGTTTCTTACTAAATGAGGTTTACGCAAAAGTAGTTTGTTTAAGCCATAAAAAAATGCATGTTAAAAGAACTAATGTAGTATTTAATATGCAAGTGTAGCATTACAGAAGGATACATAAGATGCCTCATTATAAATCTTCAAAACATGTTGTATTTATGAGGAAAGTAAAAATTACAAAATGTCATAAATATTTATCTGCGGATGAATATAATTCATAACTGTCTAAACAAAAGGTATGCTTGAGAAGACGATTATTCCTACAGCTCATTTAGCCTGCATTGTAACTGCCATACCCTCCTCTGTTCTAAAGAGCAATAAATGTCAATCAAAACTGTTGGGTGAACAAAAATCCTTCAACTAAAATGAGGGGTTGGAGGAGCCTAATGGATGCATCTGCTTTCAAAGTTACAGTGGAATTACTACTTGATTAATAGAGGCCTTTACAACACCGTGCTCTAGGTAATGTCTATATATGAAAGCACAGTTATAAATATCCTGAAAAAAAGCGGCTTAAAGGCCAACTTTGTGGACATTTTTACAAACTGAAGTTGCCATTTCTAAAATTAAAACACAACTAACTTTGCTGTCATGTAAACGTGTGGCAAGGGAACGTCTTCGGAAGCATAAGAATTAGAGAATTAATGTGGGGTGTGGGGGGGGTAGAAATTTGAAGATAAACCACAACACTAATGCATTTTTGCTCTCTCACCATATACTTCCCTCAAACAGGGAAATAAGTGAATGCAGCAAATATTGATACAGGAGGAAAGCCTACCTACCACAGCCTCTCTGTTACTATGGCAACGCGGAACTGAATGGCAAGGCGCAGGCAGCTTCTAGTACTGTGAGGGCTGCCGCAGAGCCCACTGAACACTGGGTGTGAGGGAGTGGGTGGGTGTTTGGGAGAAAAACAAAAAAGGTGGAAAGCAGTAAAATTAACTCTGTGCAGCCCGGATGTCAGGAGCCTGAGCCGTCTCACTAGCTGAGCGTGAAGAAGACTCCAGGCCAAGCTACGCACAACTGGCCCGAGCGCTAACAAAGTGGGTTTGAGCTTGGGTGCGTGGGGTCGGCCTTGTGGCTAGCTGCCAAAGGGAGGTTGTGTTGCGATACACCGGGTCCCAGCGGGCTTGTGATGAGCCCATCTTAAGAAATGCTGCTCTTCCACGCGGTGTCAGCTCCCCTGTTGAGCACTGTGGAGCATGCAGGGCGTCAACCGCAAAACGCCCCCTGCAGGTGCGCGCATCAGGGAAGCAGAATTTTACTGTCACCTGCTGCTGGTCAAGCCATTACTAGGGGTCTTTAACTAACTGCCAATTCCAAAGCAGGCGTGTGGATAATTCAGAAACAAAAACTCCAGCTTTAAATATTGTAACTTTAAGCCTAACAAATGGTCTTCTGGTAAATTCTAAAAAAAAAGTGGTACAACTGCAGTACTATTGGTAAAATATATGGCCTGGTAAAAGGGAAAGAACACTAACATTGTGCGGTCAGAAAACAGTAGACAGTTTACGAAAGTAATAAACTAGTTGGGAAATGTTAGGAATTTTTAGAAGTATCAGTTTAACCTTTAAAAATGGGCTCGGTAATTTAGGTAATTTAGGTTTGATCATGTCCCCTCCCTTGTCCTGTGTACATCTCCTGAGATCTGAGAATGGATTGTTTTTAATGTATAAACCAAGAAAACATTAATATTTTTAATCAGCAATACTTCTGCAACGTGAATGGGCTGTGAAACCAGTGAAGAGTCTCCTCTAATAAATATTTTTTTAAAAAGCCTGTTTTCACTAGAAGAAATAAAGATCAATACAGCAGAACAGCCTTTAAAGGTCTTCCAGGAAAAAAAAAATTGTGATATCTGTAGTGAAAAATTAAGTTAAAAAAGCCAATTCATTCTAAGTAAGATGGTTATCATGTCCTGAATAATGAGTGCTTCATGAGTCAATTTAAAAAAAAAACAGCGTAGAATTCTGAATACAGCAGATACGGATTCAATCAAAATAAGAAAAACACTGAAAATGTAGGATAAGAAATAGTCAAACATCCTGTGCTCCTTAACAGAATTCCCACTTCACACTAGCAAAATTAGCAAAGTTTCAATTGTGCATGAGACGTAAAATCTTAATATTTTAAAGTTCGAAGAAATTTAAATGAAGTATATAAAAGACTGCTTTTACACAGCTAAAGGAGAACTGTCAAATCTATATATAGCCCAATTTAAAATTGCTTTAAGCTAAAATAAATATCCCATGTTAACGGTTCTTCTTCATAGAAGAAATGTCTATACATGAAAGAACTTGCAAGCCCGATTGTTACCGTGAGAAAGCAAGACGGACTCAATTATCTGGTGGAAAAATACTCAACTGCATAACCAGGCCTACCAGCGTTAATCCTCTTCTGCTGCAGACCAGCAACCCCTCATCTTGTTCAATTTCTCTTGGTTGACAAACCTCTTACCTCTTATTTTCGCCTCACTTAAACCTAAAGGTCGATGCAACCCAACCTAATTTCTTACAGGTCTTACATCATAAATGACAGTGGAAATGAAAGAAAAGTAATGGTAGTTTTAAGTTAACTCACAGAGACATTTATTTTAACACTGGATATTCTGGATAACATTGGTGTTCCCAGTATTTTTTTAACAATTATTTTACACTTAACTGCAGCAACTTGGAGGGGAAAGAGAAACTTACAAGGTTTAGTTATATGAACTTAAAATGCACAGTGGCTTTAAAAGGTAATCACTCACCCCCCAGTCACATTTTATGGTGTTGCAGAAGAATATGGAATATGTTTTTTTTCCCCCACTGACAACACACTAAAAGGTCAAATTTATTTATTTTTTTAAAAACCCATCAAATGTCAACTAAAGTATGTCAGAAGGCATGTGGGAGATAATGAGACAATCTGTAAGAAGATGCTATGGTCTAATGAGATCAGAATTTCAAAAAATTGACCTGAACTGGCCTCAAAGTTAAGCACTAAATTTGGCGCAAGTCTTCTGTCGATTAGTGGGAAAAATATTCAATCTGAATACATTATAATTCCATACTGTTGGAAATTGTGAAAAAAGAAAAACACTTCATTTTTTCTTCACCTGACATGGAATACATCAGTGACAAGTCCTTGCAAAGAAATACATTCAAAAAGTGACATCTGATATTCTATCAAACAAGCAGACTGTCATGAAACATACTTAAGTTAGGGAACAAGTAATTGGTTTATTCCATGTTGAAAGGAGAAGAAAGAAAACTGGGGAGCCCTAAGTTGTGATGACATAAAACATCACTGGGAATCTCTTAATTCAAGAGAAAAGTCAAACAAATGGGAAACCACATTTATGTCCTTACAGTACTCTCCTGTTGTGTGACATTTTAACATGTAACACTTAATTCACTAATTAAATGGGGCAAACAGACTTAATATGGATAACATACTACACTAATAAACTGCCCTCTAAATGTAATTACCTGCTTTAACATAAATCTATTTCCTAGCGCAGGTTTATTAAGCCATGAGCAAAGGATTGTAGCACTTCCTCTCAAATGCAAGTTCTGGAACAAAAGGACTTCCTCAATATGCTATTGTAAGTGATGCAGAATGTGTTCCAAAACATCATTTTTTGCTGTAAAAAGCTGAAGTTGCATTCTGAACAGAGTCTAGAGGATACATGCCACTTTTCTGGTGCATATGCTACCTAACACCTGGTATTGGAATATTTCCAGCAGTCACTATGCAATCAGATGTCATTTCAGCACTGAAGGAACAAGTTGTAACTTGGGCTCTTATATTTTATACATATTTTAGTTGTGAAAGAAGCACACAATCACATAACCAATACTTATCCTAAACTCAAACACCACCAGGATTTCCTGTAACTATTCTTTACAAAGGTATTTACTATTCTTTATAAAGGTGAACGTTTTAAAACATTCAAACCAATTCAAATAAGCTACTTAAAATCATCAGGATTCAGTATTTAAAATGTATACAGTGAACCTCATAATACAATACAGAATTCTAATACTGTACTGATGTCTTTTAGAGTAGACTGCACTGACAATATCTGATAATTTTAAAATTCCTTTCAATGGCAAAAACAACCCTCTTAAGAGAACTTAAGTGACTGCATTTGCTATTGGTAATTATGTATATTTTGCTTAAGAGAACTTTTTTCTAGTTTCCATATTTTAAAGTGCCACAGATTATAGAACTGTTATTATACAATACTGATTATAGTGTTGTTTTGGAACAGTTTCCATTTTCAAATGTGTTAGTACCCTCAAACTAGATGACAATTTAGTCCCAGAAATTTCTCTTGATCACCAAAAATAGGTTTACTACAGGTTATATTGACCTTCTCCACAAGTAACATTTTATGGTATGTAATGGACTGATAATGTAACTGATGATAAATTACACTCCAGAACCCTTCAACTAGCAACCACTCCATATTTAAAACTTTAAAAGGAAATCCCTTTTTACACTTTCAAAAGGAGATCAATGCTGTACACAAAGCAGACCGCTCAAACATACTTCATTCTCGGAGATACAAGTCCCTGCCTTCGATAGCATTTTAGAACGCAGCAGGGAGAATTCTTGATCATAGTGTAAATGTGCACTTTGTTCCAGCTGGTCCTAAACTAGCTAAGTGATTTTCAGTACCTAGAGAAAGGAATTAATATACTTAAAAGAACAAAGTCCTTTAGCAACATGGCTGGGAAAAGCCTGGGTTAACTAGCTGGTCCATAGCATTGATTCCACCATACTCTGTACATCCATTTCAGACATGGATTGCCAGGTGAGAAAATGGGACATTTCCCAAAATGTGTCGATTCCGGTTTTAATGACAGCAAATCAACTGTTTCATGAGTGAGCAGTAAAGAATTTAACGTTTAAGTGGAGGAGACTGAATTAAACCAACCCTATCTAAATTTGTTTCTAGGATACAAAAGTATACGTTTCACATGTGTGCAGAAGTGTCTAAATGGACTCGGATAATACAGAAAAGAATTATATTTCTCAACAAAGCGAAGAATGCTTCCCAAAATGTCCTTTCATTAAAACATTAAACAGTCCATGGATGATCCAGTGATGACTGACAACTGTCAAATGTCCTCCATACCACAAGTAGTGTTCGGTCAGGCAAGAAGAGACCTGAACATTATGACAGAAAATCCAGCAAATTAAAAAAAAATTATTCTGCACATCACCTCAACACTACCTTATTTAAATCACTGTAACCGACAAACAGGAAACTGAAACCAGGGCAATTCACCAGATTTTGCCAGAAATGTTAGTCCTACTTAATGGCTAAAAGAAACACTGTGTAGCATCCAGTTTGTTACCCATGACAACAAAAAAGTTAAACACGGGCATAAGAAAACAAAAAAGTCTGGAATTCAATAAACTCTGATTTTTACAGTGGTAACTAACTAGGACGAATTGATCTAGACGAAATCTATACACGCCAAAGCCATACTTGTTCCAAAGACAATAGCAAAACCAGAGAGAGATGAATGCTTCTGCAAATTGGCACTGCACAGCCTTGTAAAACAGTTCATTGAAGCAGTACAGGATTTCAGTTGTTACAGGGTTTGTATTTCATTGTTTAAGCCTGCGAGATCCCAAAAAGCACTGTTGTACCGAACAGGTGCATAGCAGAATTTGCATTAAAAAGTGCCATAAAGTTCTCAGAATGTACTTACACGTCTTTGGTACAAAGCCCTGTTAGTGAATTATTCTGCACGAACTTCTAAAGGCTTTAAGCTAGGATCAGTGAACCACCTTTTTGATGAATACAATGAAACTTAACTGAGTAAAAGCTCTGTTAAATATTGTATATTTCTGTTCATCTCATAGGTCTACCCAAAGAGGCTCATATAGCATTTATTATACACTAAATTCTTAAAGTAATTAAATCTAAAACTTGTTCTAGAAATGATGTATTGATGGTGATAAGGATTGAATTAACAATTAACTGTCCACAGTAACAGCAGGAATCTTCCCACAACAAACTAATATAGAAACAGTTTACTTTCTCTCAAATGTGATTCAAGCTCTGCATGCATCGCGATCATTTTATTTTGGAATGTCAGTAGCAAACCAAAACACTGCTAATCTGCAGTTTAAGTAAATTATTTTATTTGCCCCCATCTGATTTTGCTTTGAACATAGTAGTAGAATAAAATAAACACTTTAGGACCTTAACAATATAATCAAAAGAGGAATCTTGATACCAGTAAGATCTTTCATTGTAGATAAGGACTGTGTACAAAAAAACAGCATGCATTAAATAAAATAAACAATAATTCGACACATGAAGCTTCCTACAGTTTGGACCCAAAGCACAATAATTCACGAACACTGTATTAACTAGACCTTTGTAATTTGGGGGCTCTAACACAGCTATTAAAATTTTTAAAAGCACCTGCAATTTTGGTTTACATGGCCTTAAATCTTTACTTAAAATGATATGGTCAAACAGTTTAATTAATGAATTAGCCTTTCCTTTTACAAACCCTTTTAGTTATCGTTCCATCACGGTTTTATGCTTAATACGATTGACAGTACACTAAAATCTAGCTTCAAATGATGGCTGTAAAAGTAAAAGTCCACAATGAGACAACTTTAAACTGAAATCACACACCAATACTGAAACGCTATGCTGAATGTTTACGGTGAGTAATCTGCCCGATGCACATTTCATTGAAACAGACAGGATGAAGCCACATAGCAGGGCTCTTTGCGGTTCTGCCGGCCACGGATCTCCAAGGTAAACATGCAAATTTAGGTCGCTGATGTCAACTGTGGTGTTGGGGGTGGTTTTAAAAATGCACCTGCAAATCTTTTTTGGGATTTAAATTAACGGGTTAAACCGTTAACCTACTTGTTTGCGACTGTTACACCGCTACGAAACAGTGCGAGAGGATACAATTAATGAGTCACGGAACGGACTGCTCAGGATACAGCAAGTCAAAGAAGTTGTTCCTCCCCCCCTTCTTCGCTCTAGTTGTTAAGGGCTTCTCATTCAGCCCCTGGGCAAACTGGCAGCCCGTGTGCAGTTCGACTCTTCACCTACCTTTCACGCTTTTCCTGTTGACATCAGCACCTTTCTCCAAGAGGTACTGAGCGATTTCCTTGTGCCCCTTGTAACAGGAAATCATGAGGCAGGTGTGCCCGTGGCGATTGGCCACTTCGAGATCGGCCTTGTGCTCCACCAGGTACTTCACAATGTCGAGGTGCCCGTCGAAACAGGCGGCCCTCAGGGGGGTCGAGTTGGTCAGCGTCGTGTTGTTGACGGAGGCTCCGTGGCCCAGCAGGGACTGCACCACCTTCAGGTGCCCGGCCGCAGAGGCTGCCCACAACGGGGGGGCCCCCTCGATGGTTTCGCCGTCAAAGTTTACAGATCCCCCGACTTCGACTGGGGCCAAGCAACACTCCAGGAGATACTCCACCAAATCCAGGTGCCCGTAGCGCGCTGCCATCAGCAGCGGTGTCGCGCCGTTGGTCTTTTCCGCCATCAACTTGGAAACTTCATCCCCAGCTTTGTTCTCCAACAGCTTCTGGAGCAGCCGGAGCTTTCCGTCCCGGGCTGCGTTAAACACCGCCGTCTTCAGATCCATTTCATTCCGCAGAGGTAGAACAAATATAGAAACGTGTGATACCGACAAATCAATGCACAGCACCTAGTTTGTTCAGATGGAAACTGGAAAAAAAAAAGTCCCGTTGTTTCGTAACCTGTCTACTTTGCGTTCGAGAGCCACGTAATCAGTTTAAGGTAAACCCGCACCGTTTCTCATTAAAATCTTGCTTTATTAACTCCATGACCGCAGCTCCAAACCTTAAAAATTCAAAATCAGGGCTCATTGGGGGGGGTTTTGAGGATACCGCTGCGGCGTTCCCGAGCTCTTCGGAGGTGAAGTTGTCGCCCTTTCCTTTGTGTGTGTCTAGGGCTCGGCTGCGGGTCACTCCGGCAGCTCTCCGGCGTCGACTTTCCCTCCCGCAACACTCAGCTCCGCTTCACTGGGCTCGGGATCTGCACCCCGCATCCTCCCGCAGTGCCATCGGCGATCATTCCCTTCTCACGGAGAAGTTCGTGTCAGAAGAAAATAAAACCAATGAGGACATGTCTTCCCCCTTTTTTCCCCCCACTCGGATGCAGCGTGGGCCAGACGGGAACTCACAGGGTAGCTGCAACCGCCTCCGCCTGGGTTTCCTGTGTGTTTCCAGCGAGACAAATGACGTCTGAATGAATGGCTTCTCTCTCTCTCCTGTTCCGCAAACCCTTCCTTTCCGTTTTGCTGCCCGGCCGCGTCCTTCCTCCCCGCGAGTGCCCGCAATCCCCGTCTTCCCAAGGCTAAGACGGCACAACAAAACACTGGCGAGTGTTATCTTTTTACATTTGTAACACGGAAGGTGTTTCAGCCAACACGCCCCACCTCCCGGCAGCAGCACCCCGTATGACGACTGAGCACACAAGCCGCGGAGTGCAGTTAAATAGGAAGCGCAGCAGCTCTCGGCCCCCTCCCAACAGGGGGCCCTACTGGCAGCGAGAGGAGCCAATCAAAGGCTGCCGTGGTTTGCACGATTCGTCAGCTACATAAGAGTAGGGTGTGAAATCACTGCGTTTGTGAAAAGACTTAGGGAATTACTTTTTAATGTTGAGTAAACTGAACACTTTTCATGTGGTTTGTTTTGCTATCCCCGGTACAGGGAGGATAACTTTTTTTTTTCTAGCTAGGTAACCGCATTATGGCAATTGTTTCTTGGATGTAATTACATATTACACATGAATTTACAAGGCGATTGTTTTTGTATATCAACACGGTCTTTACCTGATGTATTTTAAAAAGCCTTCTATTAAAACTGTTTTGTTTTGTCATAAAAGTATTATTTAAAAAATAAATAAAAGAGGCATTGTGCCGTACCTCGTGGTATTTAAAGTACTGTACATGGTTCCTATAATTTAATTTTTGATGCACTGTTCAGATTATCATACATTTGACCCAAAAAGACATTTAAAACCGAAGGTATTTGAAGGGGCTACTGCAAATATATTGCAACATATAGTGTACATCGTGCGTGTATTGTTCCATTCTGCTCTTGAACTCTGAGGGGATTTTGCAGATTATTGTAGCTCGGAGAAATTCTTCTCGTTTTTCAAAGCCGTTTGCAGCTACTGTAGCAACCCACGCTTTCTTTTGAGAGCACGACTCAATTATTATATAGGCAATTCCACCTGAGTAAGATATAAAAAGGTGCCTGTGTCGTGAGCTGCTGGCACAAGAGAAATAATGATTATGTTGCTTAGTCACTCCTAAATACAAATGAACTGTTTCTAGTTTTCCTTAGAATCGCAGATCTGTAAAACTGCCATCCTGTGTCCAGGCACTTACCCTAAACAAAAATAGCACGCAAGAAATGAGATGAGGAATAAAAACATAACAGGATAGTTTTAACTATGGGTTAAAGATAAAGGAAAATGGGACTGCGGAGCTACGTAATATTCACTTGGACAGTTCCAACTCGCATGAGTTTCCTTTGAAGAAATGTTTTTCGCACTTGGCAACTTCGAAAAGGATTTTCCGCTCTCCGACTGAAAAACCTTGAGGTCTGTTTCTATCTGCACATAGCTTGATAAATTATTGTTCTGTAAAAGCTCAGATATAACCCTTTCAGAAATATAAATATGTTTTTTGTCCACACAATGACCTAGCTTAATGGGGGGGAGTCACCCAGCCCTGCTAAACGTCATAGGTGAACCGGACCAGTCTCATTCGTTAGCTGGCGATCGGGATGGGGACGTGGCTTTCGAGCGTCTTCCTTCAAAAGCTGAGCCTAGAATGGTGGGAGAGTCTGGGTTTTAAAGGGAAGCCTGGTTCAGGATCAGGTGCAAATCGATACAAACAAGAAAGGGCTGGAGCGCCCTTAAGAGGAGGGGCATACGATCGTGACAGTAATTTTATACTCAACTCTTTACTTATTTTTTTCTTCTTTTACTCTGTTTTGGGACGATATAATGTAATCATTGTAAGAAAACGTTCTGCTTTGGATTTTATAGAAATACGCACAGTTTACTGGATATGTTGTAAAATGTCGTTCTCTAGTTAAGGTGATCTTTACAACTCATTCAGCAAATGGACAGTACCCTTAACATTTTAAAGACAATATCCATAAACATATTAGCCTCCTTAGATGTGAATAAAACTTAAGACATGACGCATGCCAACAAGTTAACTATCTGTGACATAACTGTGGTTGAAATGTATGTAAAATCATCGTGATCTCTGTTTTCCTTTCCTTTCCCTACATATGGGATATACATCGCGGCAGTGACTATCAGGACTGGCGCCTTGCTTCTATGGCACCCTGGCCCCGCTGTCGCGACAAAGGTGTCATATCATGACATGAAATACCCAGATAGGATATATGGACTTTGTGTCGCGACGGGGACGGGGCATCTTGTTGGGGTATGTCATGTCCCGATATATGGACTTCATGTCGCGACATGGGGGCGGGGGCATCTTGTTGGGTGTATGTCATGTTGCGATATATGACCTTCATGTCGCGACATGGGGCGGGGCATCTTGTCGGGGTATGTCATGTCGCGATATATGGACGTCATGTCGCGACAGTGGCGCGCCAGTCACGATAGGTATTGTGAAAGTAACACGGCGGGTATCGCGATGTGATCTTGATGCGAGCACCCCTATCGTGAAAAGCTGAGTTGTGAACGCTGTGTGGATGCCATGACATTCTTTGTCTGCTATTCAATCTTGAGCTCAGTGCGACTTCGCTTAGATTGATCAGTTATTGGAAACCAATGGATGTGTTACTGTATATCAAACGTGCTCATACAGCAAACATACACACAAGCAATACATTTTCGAGAATATTGTTAAAAACTAAAAGAGAAAACACCCAATGAACTAACATAGTAACTCCTCCCTAAATGTAAGACGGTTTATTGGTGTAAAGGTTGCAAAGGCTGGGGTCAACTGATCAAAAGATCACAATTGAAAGATCTGGTGGTCGTGACCTTGCTGTTTTTGTACAGTATGTCACAGAGTGACATCACAGCCTGAAAAAGAAGGCGCTATGTTGAAATATATTGAAACATCCACCCCACCCGACCAGACTGTAGGAGGGCCAACTTCACGGAGGTATATTAATGAACTCTGATGAGATTCAGGATTGACTGCATGAAAAAAAACTGTTCCCATGGTAACTGATTCCTGACAAAAATGTGTTTGACACTTAAAAAAAAAGATAAGTACGACTCCTGACCTGTCGCTTTTAAAGGTCAGGAGTTGTAAATATACAACATGTTTACAACATGGTGGTTTCATGTGATGAATTTTTACAAATATAATATTTTTGCATTCATTGAAATTTGTCTGAGATAAACTTGATTATATTTTTAAACTTAGTCAATTACAGCTATCTGACAAAATGTATAATTATCTTCTCTATCCTTACATTTCCTCATAATTATGTCTCCATATAAACACTGTTGTGAAACATTTCAGTTGTCAAAAAATGTTTACTTTTTGTGTAGTAACAGTAAGCAATAGTTTGTGGTCATGTTTACAAGTAAAAATGACACTTGCTTCAGAAAATGTAATATAGTAATTCTCTGAGGTTAATTATACAGTAAATTTAATATGGTAAGTATAAGAAGTAAATTATGGTCATTTTGGGGAATTTTGTGTTTCATTTTGTGACACAAAACTGTAACTGTATAACACAGACGGTTATACCATTTCCTAAAGTGGTACACCAGAATTCAGAAGTACAATATCACATAAAATGAACACGATTAACAACAGAACTAAAACCTTAACTAATGTAAAAAAACAAACTTGACCTACAGTATCTTCCACTTGCAAATTACAAGTCTGGTACTTTAGGTGAGACTTCTTCTTTGCAAGATGTTTTTTTGTTCAAACATTGTGATTTGTGAGTGGTAAATAGAAGTTCTAATTAAATTTAAGGCTAGGTTTTAGACAGAAAAAATATATATTTACAATAAGCAGCAACGACAGTGAAACAATGGGTGGAGCTGAAACTATTGGTAGATTCTTATCAAGACACACCTTCTTTTTCAACTAAACCTACAAGCCTATTGTCACATTCCAAATCTGTGGTGCTGACAATGACTAAATGTATAAATGCATTTTAATGTAACACATGACCTGGCTGCAAAAAAAATCTGAATATGTGCTCAGACATTTTTTATTTTCATGCAGTACATAAGCATATATTTTTATCTTTATGCAATAAGTATTGTATATACATACTGTATCGCACACCAGTAGAGTTAGCTCTACTTAGAATGGAACCTTAATGCCAGTCCTTTAGACTGAAGATCATCCCGTTACAAAAATCAAGAATAATCCTTTAGTTCATTTATCAGATTATGAAGGGTTTTGGCAAGAACTTAATGTTTCTAATGGTGCAGCTGTAGCAGCCAGTGCTGTATCTTAAAAAAAATATGTCGAAGTCACAGCTAAGATGTCATTAAAGCATGATCAGATCATAGCATGGCGAGCTGGCATAGCCAACAGCTTGATGACAGGTTGGACACAGTGTTAGATTCCTTAGTTGTAAGGTCAATGTGTGCTTAGGGTGCTAAGAGGGAAACCAGCTTTGAGGCCAGGTTTCATTCTGAAAAGAAAAAATAATATTCTTAGCAGATTGAGCATGGCTATGAAAGGGAGACAAATGCACTAAAACATTTGCTGCTTATGTTTTTTTTTCTAACTTGATTTTTGCATGCCAGAAATAATTTGTTTCTGGGAAAGTATTATTTAAATAGGTTATATCCTATCTTTTAATTGGAGTTTTTAAATTTCTGGAATGGTTACTCACACAAAGCCAGAGAGATAAATTGTAAATTGAAACAATTTATATTTTTGATAGACTTTATTGAGAAATGTAGTCTTTGGTCTGCAACCCACAGATGGATCTGCAGTTCAAAGCCCCAGCTGTAATAATTATGGAAAATTGTATTTCTTGTGATGAGTCATCCTTAAATGCCTTTTCAATTCACTAAAAACTGTCAATTACAATCTGATCCAGTGTTCACACAAAAAATCCAAAATAATTTTGGTAACTTCTGGTGCTTTTTGATTAACAGGGTAGGATTATTCAACTGCAAGCACAAATACATTTTTTAACATGTTACTGTATGTTAATACTTGATAATCTTTTATTATGGAGTACTCTGAAATTATATTTTTATGCCTGAAATTTCAACAATGCAGACTGTTCCAGTGGCCCATGTTTTTAGGTGGCAAACACAGACACACACTCACACCAGGGCCAATTTACCCAGAAGTCAGCTAACCACCAGTATGTCTTTGGATTGTGGGAAGAAACTGGAGCAAAAAATATGATTGCTTATAAATCTATTGTAAGCATTTTGTTGATATGCCCCCTGTGCAATTATCTCTCCAGATCCATCTCCAGGTTTGTGTTCAAAGTATCCATGTGACCTTTCTACCTCCCAGTATTACAAATGTGTTTGCAAATAATATTGTCACAGCCACATCATTTACAAATAATAAGTATACATACAAACACAGGAGATGTAGATATATTCTATCTGTAGTAATGCAATAACAATACACATAGTTAACATATTGTGGTGGGTTTGTAGTTAAGACGAGGTGATGCAGAGACGTAGGCTAGTCAGAATGTTAAATTGGACTACATGGGGGAGAACTGAGGTCAGAGAAGATTTCAAAATAAGTGCCTTCACCTTTATGAAGAAACATAGAGCAAGCAGAAACTGAGGTAAACAAGCAATGTATATAAACAT